TATCCCTGCAGTGCTCAACCACCAAATATCCCTGCAGTGCCCAACCGCAGAGCATCCCTGGACTGCCCAACAGCAGAGTATCAATATCCTTGCAGCGCATTTGCAGTGCTGCAAGGAAAACAGTGGAGGGGGTGGCAGGGAAAAGTTACACTTCTTGTGCAAGAGCGGCTTTAGGGTGGGGATGCTCGAAACAGTTTTTACTTGTTTTTTTTTTTGAGGGGGGGGGGTGGTTGGGGTTGTAGGGTTAGCTTTTTTTTACCCTAGAAAAAAGAAATCATCCTTATATAGTAAGACAAACCCTACAGGTACAGGAGCACTCGCAAGGATGCACGGATTGGGGTTTGAACGTTCGGGCAGTTCCGAGTTGTTTTGAAGGGAAAGGGCTTCAAGGCTTCAAAAGTCCGCTCCTCCGACTGCTTGAAATCAGAGCAAAAACTGCAATGCGAAATCCTATTCACAAAGCCATATTCGAGCCGCTCATTGCAACCCTCAGCCCTGAATTCATTGGCCCATGGTTACGCATGTCAATATGCCCTGAGTCTCAGCTCATTCCGATAGTATGTCAAACACGACATGTTCAGCTCATCGCGCAGAATTCAGCTAGGCGAATTCCCCATGAGCACTGGGTGGGCAGTGCAATTCACCTTGACCCTGCCAAGACCCTACACCTCAGTCAGCCTGAACCCTCAAACCTAAACCCAAACACCCTTATAACTTAGAACTAGACCATCACGAACAACGCGGTTTTTTGTAATATCTCTACATCTAGGGGGTTTGGGGTAACCCCAAACCGAACCCCTGAATCCGCAACCTGAAACATGAAGCCTACAAGCCAGTCCTCCGTCAAGGCTACAGCGTTGACACCGGCCTGTCATCCAAATGGTGGTTTCCTTAACTAGGGAGACCCCAATATAGACCCCCAAATACTATAGTCCTTGTTATGGGGACCCCCAAAAAAACACCCCTGATTTTGGGAAACCCTCCAAAGTATCATGAGGCCACACATGGGGGCCATGTCAAGAATCTGGCTTTTGGGTGGGTACAGGATGCGGCAAAAACTCCCAGTTTGCGACTTAGCAAGACCCTCGTATAACCCTTACTCGGGGATATATGGCCCCTGATGGTGGGCACTTAGGGCCTAATAGAGGGTAGGGGGAAGGTCTAGGTACTCACAACTTACTCTCAAACCCTTGCCAAGTCTCAGGGGGAGCCGCGGCCCGTATTCCTGCAGGGTGCCGCTCTGAACATCCCAAGACTGAAGCCCAGCACCAGCCCGCCTTCCCTGCGCCGTTCTCCAGAGTCGCACCAGCCGTCACGTTCTTGGCAGTCCTGACGGGCAATGAGGTGGGTTCTAGGGTTTCTGTTTGGAGGTCTCCTTCGCTTCTTGCTGACTCCCCGAACGGTATTCCCAAAAAGCATCAACAACACATCGGCTGAATATGCACTACTAGGATGGCGGGGGTGGGGGGGGGGACTGTTAGGGAGTAGGGATTATAATGGCAGGATGCAGTTGTTCAGTTACTCAATTACGCTGCTTGTTCAAACATTCATATCAGGATGATGTAGGATGCGCTAGAAAGATGCTGCGCGGCGAGGTGGTTGATCGAAGCACTGCAGGCGGGATTCTAAAAGGTGCGTGTGCGGATGACGAGGTGATAATCGGTTCTATTGGGCCTCATGTGGCGAGCTATATGTTGCCGCATACATGCTATGGGGAAGGTATGGCATGGCAATGGTATGATACAGTAATGCATGACAACGGGGCTTGTTTTGTCCAACCCTTGCAATGACAACCCTACAACTATCATGCGACTCGGAGTGGATCAGTGTTATGGGGTTAGGTTTGCAAAGCCCCTGCGTGCCAGTCTGAAAACAGGACGTCCGCTGCCCTAGTATGGAACACCAAGCGTTTGCATCAAGACTCTCCCCCCATATAGCAGGATCCTTCTTTTCAGGACACCGCGGAGGAACCATGATTTCGGGAACTCTACCCCAGAACCTCCAGAGCTCCCGTAACGTGTATAGCCCCTAAAGCACTCAGAACCCTAAACACTACGACCTAAACCCTAAGTCCTAAACCTCAAACCCCCAAAAGCTCGCCAAACCCTAGAGCTTCACCCGAGATCCCACACTCAATCCACAGCCTCAGTCGGAAGCCCACACTAAACCTACATGCGAAACCCACATCCTGAGTCCCAAGGCCCAATCTCTTGAAACCCGACTCTACAAAACTATGGTCGCATTCAAACTGGAAATCCTAAACCCTAACGGCCCAAGTCTAGATCCCCAACACTACCTAGACCTCTCCGAGTACAACGAACTATTGCCTACATACCTACTATATTAGCGGCCCTACCGAAAGGGTATTTGGAAGGGCTAAACTCTATAAGCCCTACACTCCCCAATCTTACGTTGAACGAAAAGGCAACACTTTTTTTCATATTTACGACTTTGAATACTACTGTTCTCGTAGTCGAGACCTTCATAAGGTTCACTAAGTTCACTATAAGTCTGGGGGAGGGTAGAGGCGCACGACTGGTCTGCCGAATCAATTGTACAATTGGCCAAAACCTCTCCCAAATCCACCTAAAAATTTTCGAACCCATTGTCAACCCTGAACCCTGAACTCTAAACCCTAAATGGTAGTTTCCCTAACTAGGGGGACCCCAATATAGACCCCAAAATACAGCACACCTCAAGACCTGGAGCTTAAAGCCCGTATGGACCTCAAAAGTGAACAAAATGAGGGGCAACCACCCCAAAAACAACAGCCCAACAAATTGAGCATTCTGTATTCTTTTGGGCTTTTGCTGAAGCCTACATCCTATAAACCCCTAGAGCCCCAAACCTTACACCCCCAAACTCCTAAAAACCTACACCCTCAAGATGCATTTGGCTCGCCTGCGCAGTTTGTCGCGGTAGCGGGCCGTGGCCATGGTGTCCTCAGGGCTTGGGCGGTTTAGGCTTTAGGGTTGAGGTACAGCAGGGTTTAGGCCAGAGCTTACGGACCTTTGTCAAGTTGAGGAACATTTCAGACGGTGATGCTCAATCGATATTGAGTTGTGATTTCATTTTCTGTCGCTGAACCAGGTAAGGTTGTGACATCTTGTTGAGGTACATTCAAAAAGATGGACACGTTGAAGCTATCTTAGGCTCAGCCATACATAACACCGCAAATTTTCCGTAAGAATGCAGCTGATCGCTTTGGAAGCTGAACAAGGTTTAGGTACATCAGATGTGTAAACTTCTATCCAAAAACAATCCACAGATTCTACAGTGAAGCTAGTCTGACGGTTGAACCATACGCCCTGAACCTAAATTGTAGTTTCCATTCTCTTTTCCATTATCCCAATATAACCCCCTATATAACCCCTAATATAACCCTAATATTACCCCAAATCCTATATAGACCCTAATATAACCCCTAAACCCTAAACCCAAAGTCTGATAGTTGAGAGTTGAACTACCTCAAGTGGAAGTTCTTCCGGCATGTACGGTCCATAGCGACGCAGTTCTTGAACATCCGCATCAGGGAGTTCACCGTGAAGATGAGCTATATTTAGGGTTTAGGGTTTAGGGGTTGGAGCATTTAGGTCTGTCCAGACATGTCTACATTCGATCATTATTTTTGCGACCTCCGACTCTAAACCCTAAACCCTAAAACCCTAAACCCTAGAACCCTTCAAGTCAGAAGCAGGCACCCTATTCCATAAGCACCACAGCAGTCCCTGGAGGTAGTCGAAGAAACCCTCAAGGTCGAACCGCCGAGAAAGCCTGCTGGGTTTAGGGTTTCAGGCACTACTATTTTGGGGGCCCCTAACACAGGGACCAAAACAATCACAACCATTCTGTTGAGGTTTATTTGAGGTACAACATACCATGATTATAGAAAGAATCTGAAACTACAGTAATGGTAATCACTGCGGGGCCGCAACAGGGGTTATCCCTAGCAAGCTCTGCTAGAACAGTTTCAATGTCATTTCTATTCTCTTGTCCATGTGATTCTCCATCATGGTAACCCTAAACTTCCTAGACCCCCAACACCGCAAGCCCTAAACCCTAAACCCCACACCCTAAACCCCAGACCGTTCCCCCTCAAGGAATCCTGGAGCTTCCGCTCGAAGTCATCCATGGAGGCGTCCCGCTGCTGGGCAGTGTGGCATGTAGATAAACTTAACTAACACGGTCACGGATTTGGGCTTTCGATGGCTTTCGGGTGATGGGTTTATGGCCTTAGGATTTTAGCATTTAGCAAATTTTTTAACCCTAACCCCTAACCCCATCTAGGATATTAGTTTCAGGATTCCAGTTTCCTGAATCAGGGTTCAAGGTTTAGGGTACAGGGCTTTGAGGATGAGTCATTGACAGCTTCAGGGGCGTAGGCTTCTCAGTAATCCTTTCAAAGGTTCAGGGTTCAGGGCTTAGATTATGCAACACCCCCGCACCCCCTGAGATTTATATATTCCCATAAGAGACCTTACTCTCTGGCAATGGATAGGTGGTTTGCGATAGGGTAAAGGCATCAGGTCAGACCAAATCAGTCAAACCCTAAACCTTGGGTACTGCCCCCCCTCAGTAACAGTTGGAAAACAATTATAATATGGTTATATGTAGCCCTTAATAGGACCCCTAATATAGACTATTACTGGCTGGGGGCAGTACCCAACCTAAACCCTAAACAGATCAAATCAGGAAAGTTCGGCAACATGCTGAAGGCTGAATCAGCTTGGTACTGTGACAGCTTCTCGTGTTCCACGGGACACAAAACCGCCGAGAAGCCTTTAGGCCCTAAAATGGTTGCGGAGTCTTCTCGTGAGTAGTGTTTTATTTGGTGGTTGAACCTAGTAAGATGACATTCCTTACATAAGATACTATACCCCAAAAGGAGGATATAATCTTACTCTATATTGGGTACCATAGCATCCCCAAATAAAATACTGGTCTCGTGATCTTTGAATTCTGAATTATTAGGGTCTGCGTGTCTGTCTTGAAGGCTGTTCGGTCCTACACTTCAAGCACTGAATTCTTAACCTACAAATCCTAATTAAACCCCTAGCCCCTGACCCTTAACTGAATCCTAAAACCACAAATCCTCAACTTAGCCCTAAACCGTGGAACGCTCCCCCACCTCGCGATCCACCGTCACGATGGGCTTGCCATGCTCGTCGCGGGTGCACTCTACGTGGAAGATCTGTTTGACCTTACAACGTGGGAGCTTCTCCAGAAACACCCTGGGGATAATGGCCAACATATATGTCTAGAGGCTATCCAAAAGGGTTTAGGGTTTGAGGCTTGGGGGTGCCGTTGGGGACCCTGGCAATAATGGTCAACGTGTGCTATAGAGATTCAAGATTGTGGGGGCAAGGGTATAAGGACTCAGGTTCAGGGAGAGGGAGTACCCTTGAGTGCCCTGGGGATGGAAGTTTGGGGGGGATATTGGGGTTCTCTTGACTAAGGAAGCCTGACCCTAAACCCTAAACCGCCTGATTAAGACCCTCGTTCCTAAACCGTGGACCACCTAAACCCTAAACCCAGGATCGGTTTCAGAAGCTCTTGTATATGAAAGCTATAGGCGCCTTTCCCAGCAAACCCATTTGAGCAGAGATCTTTCTTTTGTTGGCTGAATATCCTTCTTTTAGACACTATATCCCCCCACAAAGGATATAACTTATAACCTAACTCTATATTGGGGACTGAAGGATCCCCACAGAAATTCTGCTCATTCGGACAACCGCCCTAAGACTCTCCTCCGTATTCCTCACAAACCTCTCCGCGCCCCACCATCATTCCCATGAAGCCCCAAAACAGGACCCTGATTTCACAACTAGCCCTACCCCTCACATGATGCGTGAAGTCTATGAAGGGGTGTAGGGTTTAGGGTGCTACTACTTTGAGCACTGAAGTCGAAAAACATGCCGACATTTGCAGAGGTTTCTGAAAAAGATACGTTGCTGAGATTGTGTTCCCTTTTGGGTCGCCATTTTCAGACGGCCCCTTGCATTTGAGCCCTTCGGCCTCAGTGTAACTGCCAGGGCAACTGAAGGGCACTAGAATTGGATTGTGGCGTATCATTGAGGTACTGGGTTGCTGTTAATTAAACTTACACTAAGTTACCATAATGGGTATATATATATACATAGTAATTAATTTGGTTTTCCCAATATAGTAACTTAAACTAAGGTCACTAACAGCAATCCAGGGCAAGGTCCGCGACTTTTCAAAAAGGATGATGAGCAGAGCAACTCCTTTGGCCAAAGCCGCGAAGTATGGAGGGAAACCGGCCGAACCGGCAAGACATGAACCTTGCACCGGAAACCTATAAGGGTTTATAGTACCCCTTAAATAGATAGAACATGGAACTGACCAAGGTTATAACCCATATACCCCATACTCTATCTACTCAAGGAAGACTGTAGGGTTTGGGGTTTGAGGTTTGACTCCGAAACCCTGATCTTTTGGCAAGTAAGGGTTGAGGATGTAGGCCGAGATCCCCGCAGCACGGCCCGGATCATAGGTCTCATTTGGAGGAGTCCTGGGCGCGAAAATGATATGGGGCCGCGCAGGGCTTAGAATTCGGAATTTAGGGGTTTATAGGCTTCAGGGTTTAGGGCTGAGTGTTCTGGGATTAGGTTCAGCATGCAGGGCTTAAGGCTCAGGATTGACAACATGAGGTGTAAATCTTAAGGTTTAGGTTTTGGGCATGTGCGATTTTGTGCTGGTGCCTACATGATTAGAGTCGGGGTTTGGGGTAAAGCGGACTTCACTATACATACAGGAATTGCAAGGTGATAACATTGTCATAGTGGTCCGGATAAAGGGTTCCAGGTTTCTCAAGAGAGGGTGCCATTGTAGGACATGAAGTTGAGGATATACGAAGATTCTGATGGGCTTTTTGGGAATCTCTATAAGGATGCCTCGCGGTAGTTTTCGAACCTCTTAGGCCGGGCCTTCAAGCAGTAATAGCGGCATATTAAGACTATACAAGGGTCTGTACGTATTTAACAGTTTCCCATGTGGTCACTATCGGCGGGTAGGGGCCCAACCCAAGTTCTGGTATGGCTGGATGGTCAGAAGGGCTAGTTCCCTAACCCTAAACCAACGGGGCCAACAATTTTGCCCGCGGCCATGGCCACAGACTATGTTAGGAAGGTCAAATCCCTTGGCCCTGCCAGTGTTTTCTACATCTA